TACTGCAGTTTCAGAAGCACAAACTGTTAGTGTCCCAGGATTTTTAATGCACTCGTTGCATAGTGGTTACCACTCCGACACTCCAAAGACATGTACTCACATTATATATCTATAAATAATAAATGTCTAATCTGGGTATATAAATATAAGCTGAATAACATTTTTGGGGATTAAAGCTATTATATTATAAAAGTGTGCTTAACATACTGCTGTCTGCACACAGTGTTTTATCTGTAAGAGTATGATGAAGAGTGCAGCAAATGTTTCTGTGGCAGAGTTTGGAGTGTTCGTGGACTCGTATGGACGAAGAAGCCGCACTGAGGAAATCAAGTGGAGCCGTTTGCCTCTGTCGTTTGGTAACTGCTGCTTCTTTCATCTTAATTCTCTCATTGGATTAAAAAAAACAAACATTAACTGTACCAAATCCACTTTGCAAAGGTTCCTTTTATAAGACTAAGTGATTGTGTGTTGTCTGTTGCAGCCTACAGAGAGCCCTACCTGTTTGTCACCTACTTCAACTCCTTGGATGTCATCGAGGTGCAGGGGCACGCTGCTCTGGGGTGAGACACAGTGGCCTCTTTGTGCCACATCTTACACTCGTTGAGTTTACTTCTCAGCTGCATTTCCCTCAATTTGGTCTTTTCTTCCAGTCCTACAGTGCTGGCACACCTAGATATCCCAAATCCACGTTACCTGGGCCCAGCTATTTCCTCTGGGGCAATTTACCTCGCCTCCTCCTACCAGAACAAACTGCGGGTCATCTGCTGTAAGGGAAGTCTGATCAGAGAGTCTGGGGATCTCCAGAGGACCGGGTCCAGTCGAGGGTCAGTTCACTCTGTTTGCTCACTTTAATCCAGTTTAAACAAAGAAAAATAATATTTCAGTGACAGTCGGAGTGAGTTAAACATTCAAACACAAAACAAATCACCTAAAAACTCCTGAGCGCTTGTAGTGTCTTCTATAAATCACTGGAAGGTTGGCTTTGCTATGTCTGCTACCATCCATGGTGTGTTTTTGTTGTTGTTGTTAACAGTAGTCCCAGTAAGCGGTGTCCACCCACCTACACAGAGCACATCTCTAAGCGTCTGACCTCAGGCCCCGGCAGCCATGACGGCTTGCATCGGGAGCCGAGCACCCCACATCGTTATCGGGAGGGCCGCACAGAGTTCAGAAGAGACAAGTCTCCTGCCCGGCCTCTGGACCGGGAGAAGTCACCGGGCAGGGTGTTGGACAGCCGCAGGGAGAGGTCTCCTGGAAGATTCGGAGACAGCAGTCGACTCCACGCTGGTTCTGTCCGAACCCAGCTCGCACCTGTTAACAAGGTATGTAGAAGTTTCCAGTCGGCCTGTGGATGCGCTAAGGAGAAATATGAACAAAATCAAGCTGCCCTTCTGGTAGAAAGGGCATCCAAATATTTAATGAGTGTGTTCTGCCTTGGATTTGATCACAGACAAAAACAGTCCTATTCTTGATATGGTAACACAAAGCTGCTGCTGAATGTGGATACATCATTCTGACATGTCTCCAGATGTCTTCTCCCCGGTTATTTCTGTCAATGTGCAGAAAAACACCGTTTATATCTGTAAAGTGTGGAGAATGTTGCGCTTTCACAAAGTCTTCTGAAGAGGCTCAAGCTCCATGTGCTATAAAGAGCAAACTTACTGCTTAGTCAGCACGTTTGAGGTCATCCTGATGAAGACTGCGAGCAAAAACCTTGCTCTTTATGCTGCAGTGTTGCTGCTGGAGTTTCAGACTCTAGATTTTTCACAAACCTCTGTCTCAGCACAGATATATTTGGGATCATTTATGTTAAAACAATTGTGCACATAACCACACACACAGTAGGTTATTTTGATTTTAACACAGTGACTCTGCAGACAGGTGTACACATGCGTGTGCTATGAGGAAGGAATCGTTATAGGGTGTCTGTCAATAAAACTGAATTGAAATGAATGAGTGAATTAAATAGGCTGGATCTCTTTTTCCATATCTAACAAGTTACTGTCTGCAGATGAAGTGCTGAACTATAGGTGAAATACACCACACAGGCTAAAGGCTAAACAGCTGATGTGTGGGGATGCAGAGAAATACTACATGAATGTGTTTGTGCTTTAAGCGCTGGGTTCAGTAAGACTGGGAGAAAGCCACGTGAATTTAAAAGCTGCGTCACTGTCCAGCATCAGGAAAAGGATCACCTCTGATTAGAGTTGCAGATTTTATTAAAATACTCCAGGCTGTGTAAGACAAATTCATCTGCAACCCCAGTGGTGTGAGAGCAGGTAAAGAACTAATTTTTTAAAAATGAATTCGAAAAAATAAATTAGACTTTCTCATTTTTTAAGGTTAATGAGGCTCAGCTGCCCTGTTTGAGGATAGATAATATTAAGTATTGTAATATGCAGACATGAGCGGCTTCTTGAGACATTTTTATATAGTGTGTAACAAATCTGATAATAGTCGTCAAAATCAAACAAACAGGGAAAACAAAACACCTTCAAAGTGTGTGCACACTGCTGAGGAAAAACCCTATAATATGCACCTTGTACTGGGATTCCCTGCTTCCCTCCTGCTGTTCCAAATATTACTAGCAGCAGCGATCAGGTGCAAAATAAGACAAGCTTTGTTGTTAAATTTAGCAGTTTGCTGCAAACTTCAGTAAATCATGTTTGTACCATTCATTTAAATACATATCCAGTAAGGCCACTCAGCTTTAGTTTCACAACTGATGCTGCAGCTCTTCAGTAACTACAGACGACACCAAACTATTCATGATGTTTAAGCCACAGTAACACGCTTTGACCTTTGCTCTTAATCTGTGTTTGCAGGTGTGGGATCAGTCGTCAGTGTGAGTCCACTTGCTGCTCCTGACTGGAGGTTGTAGAGAACCAACTGCAAAAGCCCTTATTCCACCCCGAGTGCAAGCGCGCGC